TACGTGGGAGTTCAGCGACATAGCCATTATGGTAACTGCTGGTCCCTTTTTTTTTTTTTTTTAAAGAGCTGATATCGGGGACCAGCAGGTGGCATGGTGGTTAAGGTGCTGGACATTCCCACATGGCTGACCATGGTTCAAGATCCAGATCTGGTGGCTTGCTTTCTTCTCTTCCTCTCTCTCTCTCTCCCTCTCTCTCTCTGTGTGTATGTCTTTCACTCTCTGGTCAAATTAAAATAAATGAATGAATAAATAAATTTTTAAAAAAGAATTAATTAAAAAAAAGAGCTGATATCGGAAGACAGAAGTAGCAGGTGACACTGGGGTAACAAGCACAGAATCCTTTCAGCTTTCTCTTCTGAGGTTCGAAATCAGCCAGGGGGGAGACAAGCAGCTGGTCTGGTCTGCATGAACCAGAGAATATTATTAATACAAGGTGCCGGCTCTAGCCTAATCAGTAAGGAAGTCAGATCCAATCCCACCTGGCCAACAGCAGTTTGAATCCCCACCCCTAGTGGAGTGACCACACCCCATTGGGGAGTGCTGTCTCTCTCTCAGTCTCTCTGTCTCTCTGGTGAGCATGCATACCCTCTGGGAATTAAATAATGAATGCCAGGAATGGTGATGCATCCATAAAATGCAACACTCTGCAAGGCTGACCCACATAGGAAAGTTCCAGGTTCAAGTCCGGAGACCGTCCTGAGTACACTGGGCACACGCATAGCCATGATCTGGGGTTGGCTGAAGCTGGGGGTGCATTGTGGTGTCAGGACCGTTAGGGATGCTCTCTCGCACACACTCATGAGATAAATAAATAAAACTTGAAGAAAAAAACACCATTAAAAGAACAAAAAAGGGGGCCAGCAGGTGGCATGGTGGTAGGGGCACTGGACTCCTACATGGCTGACTGCAGTTTAAGTCCTGGACCTGGCAGCTTGCTTTCTCACTTTCTCTCTCTCTCTTTCTCTCTCACCAATTGAAAAATAATAATAATAAATTAAGTTAAATTAAAAAAAAAAAAAGAAGGACCAGCAGATGGCATGATGGCTATATCACTGGACTCTCATGTAGTCAACCACAGTTCAAGTCCCGGACCCAGTGGCTTAAACTCGTGCCGGGTGCGTGTGCGTGCATGCCCAAGATCCTGAGAGGAGAATGGAGGAGAAGGGATTGTGGCATGGCCATCCCCTCTGGGGGGGTGGGGGTGATTTCT